GTGGGTCTTTTTTTGTTGTATTGCCAATATCGTGCAACTGCTAATTGTAGGACGGTTTTTTTCACTGTTTGCAGAGAAGCGCTAAGTTTTTGTTGCCATAAAAATATATCACAAGTTTTCGATAAATTGAAAGTCAGAGTGTGTAGTTTTGCTAGCTAGTGCAAGAATATAATAGCCTCTTTGAAAAATGTATCACCAGCAGAATTCGGCGATTTTATACTGATTGTAAGAGGCAGATGAGGTAAGTGCAGTGATATAAAATCAAGTTAGTTTTTGGAAAATAGGAAATCGAGGAATGTGCGAATATGGTAGGAGAGAAGCTGGAAATAAGGAGCAACAGTTTCGTAATCTGGCCTACAGTGAAGTTTTTCTTTCCTGTTCCATAATTTCAATTTCGAATTTGAGAGGCGGAAGTGGTGTAGTGGCAAGTGGACATTACATACAGCGGTCCGGGATCAAATCCTGGGTCGTGAGTCGCCCGGGCCAACCAAGCCTTCCATCCCTCCGGGGTCGGTTAATTGGTACCAGACTTGTCTGGGAGGATAAAAACACTGACTTGTACATCGGCTGGCCCCCCGCAAGTCATTGTATAGGCCACATCGCATTCAAATTGCCACTACGACCTGGATTGGAAGTAGAATGCGTGGTGCGTTCCACAAAGGGATTGATCAGCGCTGAATGCTTCATCCTTTCCTAATTTCAATTTGTTGTGTCCAGTTCCGTGAGCGCTTCGCTTTGCTCACATATTTTCTTCTGCCGTCGACGTTTTTTCGCACATGTCAAGATATTGGCGAAGCCATTATCTACTTTTCTCTCTGTTATTGATGATGTTCTCCTGTCTTGAAAAAAAAGCAGAAAATGAAATACCTCCCACTTTTTCTCGGCAGTACGTGTTTTTATATTCTTTAAATAAGAGTAGTTTTAAAGTTGAAACTTTTTCGACTCCAGTTTGTTTCAGACGCCGATCGAACCGTCGAGAACGACGAACACTACCAGAAGACTACCGTTTCAAACGAACAAGCAAGTCAACCAGCCATGGGTGACGAAGAGGTTATGAAAAAGGTACTGTGAATCAGCTTTTTGGACGACCTGAAGGCTTTGATGTGGAAACAGGTTAAGGGTAAATGTTCCAAAGCGCGAAGCAAACATCCTTTCATAGATTTAGCAACGGAAAAACTATCACAAATCCTTTACAGGTTGTCGTCAAGGAGGACGAGTTCAGCGGTCTGATCGGAAACATCGCTGGGAACCTTATTCGAGATAGGGCACGTTTGCATTATTCTCATCCCACATTCTCAAACTTCTTGACCAAGCTTTGTGAAAGAGTCGGGTAATGTGTATTGAGGGAAACCACTTACGATTATTTCGATAGACTTGCCGGATCTCCTATCTCCTATAACCTTTCTCTCTGAGATGCCTTCCCGTCTGCTTTGCTCCTCTTTTCTAGAATGCCGTTCAGGAATTCTAATTATACAGGGAAAAACGCTACATTGGGAGCAGCTCACTATTGTGTATTTACTAGTATATAGAATTTTCTGTCAATGAATTTAGCGGCACTAGTTCGGAATCGCAATCAAATTTTATCCGTGAAATCTTCACTTCTCTTCGCCTTTATCTGCCCACCATAGAGCAACATCGCAAAATCTCAGTTGTGATAGTAAGAGAAAGGCCGGGGAATTAATAGACTGCTCTTGTTTCCGGTGTACATACTGAGGCGGTCAAAGTGTTTTTCGTGCACTGTTTTTTCTCACCTGACCAATTCCCTTCAGATACTGATATGTTGTGCCTTCTAATCTCCTTGAATCCTCATTTGCTAAGTATTCAAGGTATTGAAGAGGGAAATTTTAAAGAAACTTTTGAAACTTCTTCAAGAGAAAAACTGTAATGCACGAAAAACCTTTTCGGCGAACACTTTTGACCGCTACTGTAAGTGTTCCGATTTTTGCGCGTCTGTTCATTTTCATAGCTCCTTTGCTCCATCCTTTTTATTTTCTCATTTTCAGCAGCCTAGTATTTTAGCATTTTTCATTCTCTATTTTTTGACGTTTCTTTTATGGTTTCAGGTAGGAGGACCAGGTGGTGATATTCTCGCGGGCCTTGCGGACAATGTGCTGGGTGGTGGTGGTAGAGGTATGATTTTAACAATTTTCGAACTGAAAATCGCAAGTACTTTCTTCTGCTGTGGACCTGGGTTCTCTTTCCCTTTTCCTTCCTCAGTTTATTCCCGTAGTCATTCCGTTGTGTAGTATTTTATCTCCAAATGCGACGGACGATGGTCCTATCCCTCTTTGAAGTAATTGAGAGATAGCCTTAATTTGCTGTTGGATGCACTCGCACTGTCTCTCGAGTCATCGCCTTTTTAACAAATGTCAGTGTGGCTCGTTGATTCGTTAGTCTTCATAATTTTGTATAGCCGTGCAATGCTGTTATGCAGATATTCGCATTTTGCTGTGGTAGTGGAAATTTTCTTTCTGATATTCGTAGTCACTCCTTGGTTTGGGTGTCATTTTTTCATATTCGGTGCATTTTCCATGGTTTTCGTAGAATTGTTAGTTATAGTTACATAGCAATTTCACCGTTGAAAATGGTTCAGCTTAATGGCACCGTTTATTCAAGCGACACTAATCACAGTGGGCCGTTTGCAATGAAGGGGAATGTAGCATAGTTTTCAAGCGAATCGAAACGTATTTGCTTCCTCCAGGCTCCTGGGGAAAGCGTTTGGGAAGCTCCAACTGTACCACCCAACCTAAATCCTGGAAGTTTGATACACATAGATATTGGTTAGGCAATAACGTGCAAATTTCCCTCTTCTTTGGCATAGGACTTCCAAAAAACATCGCTAGATATTCAGTGATATTTCCAAACTTACTAGATAC